CCACATGTACTTGTACCAACTGGCATGCACTAGACACGCATTAGACGCGCGCCTGGCGTTTCAATTAAAACCGACAAGTGAACTCGCTTCGCAGATCCGCGTCGACATACGTTGACGGAGTTGCCCGAAAGCATTCGCGTGAAATGGTTCATAGTTGCACTTCATGGTGCACTTCATCTCGGAAAGCACGAGGTAAGTTGAAGAGAGCGAAACCATTTTCTGTTGTTTACGGCAACGCAGCATTGCTGAAAAACGCAGATGTTGCATTGAACGAGCATGGCGAAACAATCTTGGTCGACTTAGCGCACACCGAAAGGCTCCTCCTCTTCAGTTTATGTTCTGGCTACAATTTTGCCTTTGGTCACGGCGAGAATCCGGCTGGAGCCATATGCGCATGCGTACTCGTTTTGAACCTTTTGCTTAATAATAAATAACACCACCAGCCATTTGCAAGATCACGTGCAAGTAATGCACCATTTACAGACGCGTATGACAGAGAAAAAAGAGGAGTAATCGAGAGAGTGAGGAGTACGGCTCGAGAACAATGAGTGACGCTACCTTGTTTCATCTAGGGACCTTAAGAATACTATCTCGCTTACCCCCCCCCCCTACTTTTTTTTGCTCTTCGCCTTCAGTCAAACCTTGCGCATAAATCGGCGGATGATGGCCGTGCTGCATCCTAGGTTTCGTGGCTTCGGCAACAAACTGGCTCCTTTTTTTAGCCGACACCGCAGTACAGAGGCACCAAAATGCCCCCCGCCCCCCCTCAACATTGCAACTTGGAACGTCCGCGGTTTTCGAGACAGGAATAAGCAGAGGGAAATTATATCGTAAGCACGTGCGCAGGGGATAAACTTCCTGTTTTGAGAAGAAACAAACTTCAGAACACCTTTGATTGTGGCTCTCTTTCGGCGGAACTTCAAACTGGATGCCTTCTTCTTTTTGACAAACTCGAGATGCTGCGGGGTTGGTGAAGTCTTCGTCACAGGGCGTCACCGCGAAAAGGCGTTCTGCACCTTTGGCGCGGATGGCATAATGTTAATGGTCGATGCACACATAAGCAGTAAGAGAATCCGCATTGTTAACATTTATGCCCCGGTTGCGCGATCGGAAACAAACTCCTTTTTAAAGCTTTACATCCCCTTCTTTTGGAACCGATGTCCCATGTCTTATTAGGAGACTTTAATTGCGTAGTTATTTCGCAGAGAACTTGAGAGGCCCGGGCCAGGGAGGATCGACTTACAACGCAAAGGAGCTCACTTAAATTCTAAAACACTTGAACTTTACCGATGCCTGGCTGTACACACATAAGGTTGACTCTGCGCCGACTAGGAAGCCCAAGACCACGGCAAGCAGAATTGATCGGATCTATCTACCAGACTTCTTGCCCTTCACGAAGGCGTGCGACACTCTCGCCCCCCTAGTGAATCAGCGGAGATGTCAGATCACGTTCCCGTGAGGGTGACAGTGAACGTGGCCCCAGCGTCACGGGATTGCGGGGCGTGGTGGCGGATAGATTCAAATGTCTTACAAGACGATCAATTTATACAGACAATCGAGGACCGCCTAAGGCTGTCCCTGGAAAGTACCCCCAAATTACCTCATATGTATGGGACCTCCTGAAGGAGAAATGGAAGGGCATCCTGCAGGAGGAAGGCCGAGCGAGCAAAAAACGTCTTACTAACCAAATCAACGAGACCCTCCGCAGAATGAGGATCAATCGGGGAGCTGATGAACTCACGACTTCTACAATAGACTATCTGGCCTCGTTAGAAGCGACATATGACAGACTCCTCAAAAGGAGGAGCTGTAGACAGCAGAACCTCTCCTCCCGGTATCCTGTTTCCGCTCTCTCAGAACCAACTGAGGTGAACGGAAATGGCGAAGTACGGATAACCGAGGCGAGACGCCCTGACAGGTCGGTTACCACTGACCCGGAGGAGATCGCTACTGTTTTCTGGGAGTACTTCGCAACTGCATTTGAAGACAATGGATCAACAAACACTGTGCCTGATACTGACCTAATTAGCAGCCTCTGTCAGCATGTTCACCGACTAACACAAGATGAGTCCCCCAAACTTCTTGGAAAGGTGACGTTAGAAAAACTTGCCAGAGCAGCACGGAGTATGCCCCAGAAATCGGCACCGGGGTCGGATAGACTGTCGGCGGGTTTCTACACGAAATTCCTACACGTACTTGGAGAGGCCTTGCTGAGAGTACTCAACATGATGGTGAGGGTGCGAAGGAAACCAGCTTCTTTCGGTGACGGTAGTATAGCACTACTACTGAAAGACGGCGCGACACCAAATGACCCTTCTTCGTGGCGTCCCATCACGTTGCTTAACGTGGATTACAAAGTTGTGTCGACCATCTTGAATAATAGAATGAAGCTTCTCCTTCCCGAAATCGTGTCGTAGTTCAAAGCATGCGCAGTGCCCGGAAGGTCGATTTTTGGAAACCTGACGTTGACGAGAGACCTCTTTGAGTACATGTCCGAGAAGAAATTGGCAGGGGCATTCTGCTCACTCGATGAGGCCAAGGCCTTCGACCGGGTGAAAGACGCCTACATGTTACAAGTACTCAGGGAATTCAGTTTCCCAAAAGACTTCATGGAGTTAATCGGCCTCCTATACGTAGACTTGTCGAGTAATGTACTTGTGAATGGCTCGGCAACCATGAAGTTCAAGTACACAAGAGGCATTAGATAGGGTTGCCCCCTTGGCCCCACCCTATTTTTACTTTCGTTAGACCCGCTACTTACAAGCCTGAGTGAAGACAGTCTCTTCAAGGGCTTTCCCATGATAGGCAAAGAACAGATCAAGGCCCTGGCTTACGCAGATGACGTGTGCTTGTTTGTCAGAAAAGCAAGCAGCTTTGACAGGTTCTGGCAGATCTTCCGCCACTACGCAGAAGCTTCCGGAGCCGCGATCAACATGGAAAAAAGCAACGCGCTTCTCTTCGGCTCGTTCCCGAGAGAGGCCACTGGCAACATCGGTACGGTGGACGCTGTGAAAGTCCTCGGTATTTACTTCAGACTTGCCGGGTGTCTGAACTGTCGTTTCAGCGGCCACTGCAGCGGGCCCAGGAAGCAACAACCCGCACAAAATAACGAGACCTTACACTAGTGAAAAAAGCCCGGGCAGTCAAGACAAGCATTTGCGCCCTAGCTAACCGTGTTAGCTGCGTCGCAATAATGCCAGCAAGAACAGCACACCAGCTGAATAGATGCATAGGCGGTCTCCTTTGGGATGACAAACCAGCACCAGTTAAACAAAGTCTACTTCAGCTACCAGTAAAAGAAGGTGGAGTGCGTCTCCCACATGTTGTAACGATCAGCAAGGTGCTCGCCTTAAAAACCGCACGTTTTTTATACCAGGCTCAAAGCTTCCTGAGAAAGGGCCTATTACGGTACTGGAGCAGAACAAATTACCACTTTTTGGACGCCGATAGACCCACTGGACCGCTGGCGGAAGCTCCGTCAAGGTTTTACCGATCGGCAGGAAACTGCAAACGTATGCTAGACACACAGCTGAAAGAATGTGACATCGACGGAGACCCCCCGGCTAGAATAGTGGAAGACATCACTAGAGCCCAGCTTACTCCGGAGGACATTAAGAAAACACGCAACCGGCGCAGGAAGCAGGCGAAACAGGGCCGTGTGGTCCCGAGGGAATGCCAAGACTTTATATGGCAGAATAATTGAGAGGTCCTCCCGACATGGTCACGCCTACATTGTTTTGGCATAGTCCCGTCGCCCTCTTGCCTGAACTGCCACTTAGAAAAAACGGCACAGCATGCTCTTTTCGAATGCGTGGCGGTCAGACCGGTCTGGCGCCTGTTAGCCAGGAACTTTATAATCAGACCCCCCCCCCCGCACATGACCACAACGAAGGCGCCTTCGCGAGATTAGTGATAGTGTGCACAATGTTTGTGGTATTGAAGCGTCGCCGCCTCGCGGAGTACAAAGGAAAATCGGTGAGGGCAGCCTACCCGCCGGTTTCCCACGTGAAATTGCTGTGGTGGCAACACCTGAGCGAGGAATTAGAGATAAATGGAGAAGAAGCCTTCCTGCACCGCTGGCACACGCGGTTCTTTTACACAAAAGATGGGACGCCCAAGTTTCCAATTATTCCTTACTAACCTCCCCCCACCACTCCCTGACCATCGTCTACCTCGATCATCCATTTAACAACAAATGGGGTAACTCTTAGTATCCCTTCTCCCCCTAAATAGCTGAACACAGGCGAATCCGAAGGAATTCATAGAGCAAGAGTTGCTAGGGTTTACAACCCAAGGCGAATACACACATTCGAGAAAAATCTCCCCCTCCCGTGCGAAAAAAAAACCGGTGTTGCTGTTTTTCTTGAACATGTGGTGAACAGACCACCCCTGTATGCCTTTTTTGTTGCTTTACTGCTTTTGTAAAACCAAAAGTGTCAGATGTTTGCGTGAAGAATCTTAGTGCAAAGTAATCAACCCTTTTTATTGTATAAGTCACCCCCCCACATTGCTTTCGAACGCCCAACAAGTGAATGATGTATAGTGGTTTGTAAACACAACAAAAGTGTGATTAAAGCGCTTGTAATCAATATAACTTCGAACTGTGGCCGATTGGTTACAGTCCATGCTCTCTCGGTTTGCGAGTGTAGGATGACACTGTTGTAAAGAGACAAATAAACTTCTCTTTCATTCTCGGCCTTTTGGCTAAGATCAAAGTGGCTCTCCCACTTTTGATCTTTATAGCCAAAGGACGAGAACGGTTCCTCCCGGGGAGCCGGCCACCCTGGAAGGTCCCCCTACCCCTGGTCGCACGGAGCAACGCTGTACCTGGGTCCACCTGGTTCTTTGGCCCTGCTGTACTGTCGAAGGAGTCTCCGGCCATCTACTGACGCGGTGGGCCCACCAGCGGGAGCAGACGTCCTCCGGGAGTGGTAAGAGTCTACAAACCTTTTCTTGCCTGCCACTCCCGGCCCGGTCGTCAATGCCTGCTGGCGACATCCATGGGCCCCGGTCCTCGTGACCACCTCGTCGCCGTCATCGTCCGAGCCTACCGGCCGGGACATCAAGCCACGGCGACGTGGACATCTACCGACCGGGCGTTCCAGTCAAGCCAGCGGGAGAAGACGCCCTCCGGGAGTGGTGAGAGTCTACAAGCCTTTCTTGCCTGCCACTCCCGGTCCGGTCGCCAATGCCTGCTGGTGACACCAGCGGACCCCGGTCTTCGTGACCACTTCGCCGACGTCGTCGCCGTCGCCCCGGCCTTCCTGCCCGGACGTCCGTCCACGAGGACCTGGAGAAGTCCCTGCCTGGCCATGCCTACCCCCCGCCGGCCACCTGCCGTGTCCGTCGAGCCGCTCTTCCTGGGTTCCGGTAGCCGTCGGCGGCGTCCCGCTCCCCCTTCGGGGACGAGCACACCGGCGCCCCCGCCGGCCCAGCGGCCTCGTCCTGGCACACCCGCGTCTACTGGCGTTTCAGCGGCAGCATCGGGCCCTCCTCGCTCCCGACCGCCCGTCATTTACCGGGGCATCATGACAGTGTACCTGCCGGTGCCAGGGCTCCTTCGTTGTCCTTATCCCTGTTGCGCGGGCTGCCAAGCCCGCACATCAGTCTCGCTCCGACTGTCCGCGTGGCGGTCCCACATGGAGCAGAAACACGGGGTTCGGCCAACGGAGCGGCTCTACCGGTGCGTCACCTGTGATGCCCGGTTGAATTCGCTGTCCGCCCGCCACGACTGCCCGGGTCCTGCCTCGAACGAGCCTTACCACCCCTGCCGGTATTGCCCGAAGAGCTTCAACTGCGAACGCTCCTTGGCCCGGCACACCATGGCACGGCACGCGCAAGAGGAGTCCACTCCATTTGTACCTCTTCGCCCCCCACGGCAGCCTACGGCGACTACCTCCAGTTCCTCTGGTACAGAGACCACACCACGCTCCGGCCCAGCTCCTTCCGGTACAACTTGCCGAGCAGTACCAGCACCACAGACCCGAGCAACCGTTTCCCGGTCTCGAAGACGTCGTGGAGGCCATTCTCCCACATCGACGCCATCTTCCAGTACCGGGTCGGCCTCCTCCGCTTCGGCAACCGGTTCTCCGTCGGTGTCAAGCTCCGAGGCGTCAACTATGCCGGGCCACTCTTCCCCTACTTCTGACTCCGGCTCTTCCACGCCTCGGCAATCACCTTCGGTTACCGGAACGCCACCGTCCGTGCCACCAGATCCTGGTCCCCAGTCCACGACTGGCGAGGTCTCATCCACGCCCGGCTCGTCTCCTCGTCGTCGTACCGGTCCCGGCACCACGTCGTCTGCTTCGAGGGCTTCCTCACGGATGTCCACGGAGCTTGCCGACGTCCCCGGTACCGACGACTCCGACGACGCATCGGCCAACGAGCCGGTGGACGAACAGAGTGTCCATGCTGCCGGCACCGTCGTCGACCGCCGCCCTCTGTCGACCAATTCCCGCTCCTCCTCATCCCCTTCCCTTTCCGAGCGGTTGGAAGACACTGGCGCGGATGAAGCCGACGACGGTGCACACGACACTCCTGTGGAAGCACCGACAATGGAGATGCCACCGGACCGCACCATGCTGCTTGCGGAGCAGGTCCGCGTCTTGCGAGCCACGCTCCGTGCAGCACCGACACCAGACTCATGGGCGACGTGTGAGCAGGCGTGGTCACGGGCTGTTGCTCTGGCCGCGGAGGCTGTCCGCCTCCCGCCGTCAACACCGGGACGCCCTGCTCGAGACGTCAACCCGGATAATGCGACAGAGATCCAGCGTCTCTACCGCAGGAACCGCCGACGCGCCGTGCGCCTGATCATGGAGGGTCCCACACGGTCCTGCACCATCCCCATACGAGACATCCAGGACCATTGGGCCTCCACCTGGTCACCTCGCACGGCAGACACGTCAGCGTTGTTTCAACGACCCGCGGCTCCTGTTCCGGTAAACACGGCGTCGTTCTCGGCAGACGAAGTTCTCCTCCGGCTCCGGAAGTCGGAGAACACGGCTCCCGGACCCGACAGACTGACGTACCAACACTGGAGGTCCGTCGACCCGGAGGCCCGCTTCCTGTCTGCCCTGTTCAACGCCTGCGTTCACCACCGTCGCACTCCGGACTCATGGCGAACGTCACGTACGGTACTAATATACAAGAAAGGTGATCCCTCTGTTCCGGGCAACTGGCGCCCCATTGCACTCGGCTGTACTGCCTCAAAGTTATACGCCAAGTGTCTTGCGTCGCGCCTGCAAGCCTGGATCATGGATCACCAGGTCTTGTCAAAGTGCCAAAAAGGTTTCCTCCCGTATGACGGCGTTTTCGAACTGAATTACATCTTTCAGCACCGCATGGACGCAGCCAGAGCTGGTGGCACGGAGTTTTGCGCGGCCCTTTTGGACTTCGCAAACGCCTACGGGTCCGTGCCTCACCAAGCCCTCCTGGACGCCCTCCGTGGTTCCGGTGCTGGGGAGACGTTCACCGCCCTCATCGAGGACCTGTACCGTGACAACCAAACTGTCATCGTTGCTGCAGAGGGCACGACAGATCCGGTCGTCATCCACTCGGGTCTACGCCAGGGCTGCCCGCTCAGCGGGTTGCTCTTCAACCTGGTCATAGACCCCGTGGTTCGAGGCGTCCAAGGCACAGGCGACGACCACAACATCCTCGCCTATGCCGACGACCTGACGCCCCTGGCCGACTGTCCTGCTCTTCTCCAGCAACGCATCGACATGGTCGAGGCGCTATCAACACCGCTCGGGCTATCTCTCAACCCGAGCAAGTGTACGACCTTGCACCTCAGCGGCGTCACCCCCGTCGGAATGCGGCCAACCGTGTTCCGGGTCTCCGGCGTCCCGGTCGCGGCTTTGAGCGACTCCGAGCCGCTCCGCTACCTCGGACGCCCGGTGGGTTTCCGCCTTCCACAGCGGGCGGGGACCGATGTCATTGACGACGCCATCCGCAACGCCACGGCTTATTTTTCTTCCCTTCTAGCCCCCTGGCAGCGTATTGACGCCCTCAAGACATTTGTGTTCCCGGCCCTGAACTTCTCCATGAGGTGCGGCGTCCTGACGAAATCAGATTGGCACCGGTTGGACCTTGCCATCAGGCCCATGGTCAAGCGTACGTTGTACCTACCGGTGAACGCCTCGACCAACTACGTCTACGGGAGCGCCTCCGGAGGAGCTATAGCGATACCGGTGGCAGCGGAGTTATACGACATCTGTCGTATTGACTCCGCTTTTAAGCTCCTGACGACATCAGACCAGTCGCTACGGGAACTCGCCCTGTCCGACGCTTACGAGGTCGCCTCCACCCGCCTCGGATGGGAGGTTACCCGTTTCGAGTTGGAGGCGTACCTCTCTGGCGACCGACAGGTCGTCCACTCAAGGCCAGCAACCCAGCTGCGCAGCGTGTGGACCGAGGCCCGTAAGGCGTCCCGAAGGCTACAAGTCTCGTGGTCCCTGCGGCCGGACCACGTCACCATCACCTGCGGCGACGCAACGCTTCCTTCGACACAAAGGAACCGGGTCATGCGGACGCTACGAGATGTGCTGGCTCACGTCCGGGACAACGCCCTCCATGACCAACCAAACCAGGGGAAGGTGATGGCCTGCGTCTCGGCGGATCGTGCGAGCTCACATTTCATCACCACGGGAGCATTCACGCACTTCGCCGACTGGCGGTTTATCCACCGGGCGCGCCTCAACCTGCTACCCCTGAATGGCGCCGTCATGTGGGGCCCTACTGACCGAGACCAGCGTTGCCGGGTCTGCGGCTACGCGAGGGAGACGCTACCGCACGTGCTTTGCCACTGCATGACGCACAGCGCCATGTCTCAGGCACGGCACAACGCGGTGGTCTCGCGCCTTCGCACGGCCGCTGCCCGCGACTACACCGTAGCGTACGAGAACCGGCCGGTCGGCGACACCGGACTGCGTCCTGACCTTGTCCTGGTTCGCGGGGAGGAGGCCCTGGTGATCGACGTGGCTTGCCCGTTCGAGAACACACCGGAGGCCTTTACCAACACGCGAAACGACAAGGTCGCACGCTACCAACCCGTCGCCGACTACCTGCGTCGCCGCTACCAGAGAGTAACGGTGGCCGCCGTCATCGTCGGGGCTCTCGGCGCTTGGGACCCGGCCAACGACCGCGTCCTTTCAGCGTCTGTGCTCCCGCACCTACCTGCGTCTGTTAAAGAAACTCTGCGTGAGCGAGGTGGTGGCAGCGTCCCGCGCCATATACCACGCGCACGTGGGACATGGACGCAGCTAGACCACCGCTGACTAAGGCAAGACCTACCGTACCACGTCGCCACATCGCCTACCACCTGCCAAGTACCCTGGGTAAGCCGCTGCAGTCCCGAAGGTTCCTGTGATGACCAACACCCTGGCGTCCTTGTATCACCATCCGTGTCCGGTTTCCAACTGGCTCTCCCGGTGCAATGTACAGGAACTAAACGATGTCGTCCGGCTAATTCAAGACAACCTATGCATTGTCTGAAACATAATAAAATTTACACTCTGTTCTTATCAGCTTAATATAAGCTGACCACTTTGATCCTCTGGCCTAGGTCGAGAGGCGTCCCCTCCCGGGGACTCGGCCACCCCGGGAAGGCGACGACGTTCCTGGCTGCGCCTGCCCTTGCGGAGGGGCACCTGCTGCTGCTGCTGACCGGCTGAGCTTCCCGTTCTCGGACCTTGGACGTGGCGGACCTGCTGACCCCGGAGGCCTTGGACGTCCTGGCTGGCCCTGGCGACCCCCGGATGCTGGACGGCGGTTGGTGAGAGTCTACTGCTCATTTCCTTGCTTGGCTCTTCGCCTGCCGCCTGCTGCATGCCCGGCCCGGTCGTCACCGCCTGCTGACGACGTCATCGGGCCACGGTCACCCTCGTGACCGCACCGCCGTCGTCGCCCACCGCCCGGCCCACCTGGTCCTGCCTGGCCCTGCTGTTGCCGTCCGGTCCTGCTGCCTGCCGGGACCGCCGCCATGGATCCTGCCCGCCCGAGTTCCGCGAGGGGCCGTCGTGCCAGGCGGCGCCACGCTGCTGCCCCTACTGGCTCCCCGGCACCACCCCCTCCTCAGCGACCTCGGCGCGGGACTCCGGGTTCTCCCGCGGCGGGCCCTTCATCGCCGGCGTCGACTGCGTCGCCCTCGTCGGGACCGGCTGGTTCCGAAGCACCGGCGTCCTCACGCCCTTCTGCCCCGGTGCAACCACGCCAGCCGGCCCTGGACGGCGACGTTCTGTGGGTGTATCTCCCGGCCCCGGCGGAGCTGCAGTGCCCGGTCGACAACTGCAGTATGAGGTACAGCGGGGCCGCTTGGACGTCTCGCGCGCAGTCGGTGCGCCGCCACGTAGAGTTCGAGCACGGCGTTCGTGTGAGGGAACGAATCTACGTGTGCACGGTGTGCGACGCGCCGCTCACGTCCCGGCCCTCGTACCACCACTGCCTGGCAAGGGCCACGCTCGTGCCATCGACGGAGACGCCTCGCCGTCGCTGTGGCGTGTGCGACGCCACGTTTACGACCAAGCGCGGCCTGGCCAATCACCTGCGATGCCACGTCGACCAGGCTGGGCCGTCCGGCGCCGCTCGTGAGCGCGCGCCTGCCCGGCGTGTGCGCCACGTCAGCACATCATCGTCTGACACGTCATCGTCCGGATCGGGTTCCTCGTCGCCGCCAGCAGCACCCCGGGCTTCGCGACGCCTCAGGGGCCTATCGCCCTCTGACGCCTCACCTCCGGTGCGGCCCTCGTCTTCTCCGGCCGCCAGATCGGGGGCCTCTTCGCCCGCGTCGGTCGGCGAACCGTCTGCCTTCATGTACCAGTCGTCCAGCGGTTCGTCGACGTCCGTGGGCTCGGCCTCCGTCCCCGGTTCGCCGGCACCATCACCTGCCGCAAGCCCGGCCCCCTCCGAGCAGCCATTTGCGCGACGCCGAAAGCACGTCTTCACCTACGCCGCACATCGGGGTCTCGACGCCTGCCGGCGTTCCCGTGGACTCGCCCGTCCCTGGGTCACCACGGTCGCCGGATCCTGCGTCACCACAGAGACCCTCGTCGTCCACCAGGCAAGTCCTGGTACCGTACGACTTCGGGCCCTCGTCGTCGTCCAATGGCGCGTCTCCTGCCCCGCGCGGCTCGTCGGCGGCTTCGCCCGTTGGCGATGCCGCGTTTCTACTGGACGACGACGACACGATCTCCTACGACGGGTCGCGGTGTCCTCGCCGCCGCTCGATGCCGGGTCGTCCCCGGTCGTTCTGCCCGGGTCCCCGGTATCTCCTGCCTCCTCCCCCGTCGCCACCGCGTCCGTGGATCGAGGCCGCGGCGGATCCCGACGAAGTACAGGGCATCCCGAGACCGACTCCACGACCCTCCAGATGCCACCGACCACACGCGCCTCCTCGAGGACCAGGCACGCCTGCTCCGCTCCTTGCTGCGGGACCCCCACCGAACGAGTCATGGGCCCAATGCGAGGAAGCATGGACGCGGGCCGTCGCCTTGGCTGTCGAGGCGGTGCGTCTCCACCGGTGCGTCCTGGTCGCCAACGCCGCCAGCCCGACCCATCGAACGCGGTCGACATACAGCGGCTGTACCGCCGCAACCGTCGACGCGCGGTTCGACTGATCCTGGAGGGACCGCCACAGACGTGTGCCATACCGCTGCAAGACCTACAAGATCACTGGGGGCACACGTGGTCGGCCCGCCAGGCCGACTCTACCCTGCTTCTCGGACGCGATCCGGCTCCGGCGGGCGTCGACACGTCGAACTTTTCGACCGACGAGGTGTACGGGCGCCTGCGCAAGTCAGAGAGCACGGCTCCCGGGGCAGACCGTCTTACCTATCACCACTGGCGAACGGTCGACCCGGAAGCACGGTTCCTGACGGCGTTGTTCAACGCCTGCCTCCACCACCGCCGAACGCCGGATTCCTGGAGGACGACGCGGACCATCCTCATCTTCAAGAGGGGGGATCCGCAAGTCCCGTCAAACTGGCGGCCCATAGCCCTCGGCTGCACGGCAGCGAACTTTTACGCTAAGTGCCTTGCAGCCCGGCTCCAGGCCTGGATGATCGAGCACGCCGTGTTGTCGAAGTGCAAGAAGGGCTTCCTTCCGCACGACGGCGTGTTCGAACTTAACTATATCTTACAGCGCAGGCTCGACATCGCCCGATCGGGAGGCCCCGACCTGTGTGCGGCGCTGTTGGACTTCCACAACGCGTTCGGCTCAGTCCCGCACCAGGCTTTGCTCGACGCCCTGCAAGGTGCTGGCGCCGGCTCCGTGTTTACGGAGTTGATCGGCGACCTTTACCGGGACAACAGCACCTGTATCCTGGCGGCCGAGGGAACCACCGAGCCGATCCCGGTCCTGGCAGGGCTACGTCAGGGTTGCCCACTGAGTGGAATCCTATTCAACTTAGTGATCGACCCGGTCGTGCGCGCAGTGCAGGGTGGTGGTTCCGACCACAAGATCCTTGCCTACGCGGACGACCTGACTCCCCTGGCCTCGACCCCGCGCCGACTCCAGCAGCGCATCGACCGGATCGAGACCCTCGCCGCGTCCCTGGGCCTTGTCCTTGAACCCGTCCAAGTGCGCGTCCTTCCACATGGTCGGATCGACACCTGTGGGGATGCGCCAGACGGAGTTCCGAGTCTCGGGCGTCCCCATCTCGGTACTGCGCGACTTCGAGCCGCAGCGGTACCTGGGACGTCCAATTGGCTTTCGGATCCCCTCCGGCTCCGGTTCCGTCGTCGAGACCGCCATCGCCCAAGCCCGGGCGATCATGTCATCGATGTTGGCGCCGTGGCAGCGTCTGGATGCCCTCCGGACCTTCGTCTACCCGGCGCTCAACTTCCCGATGCGGTGCGGCGTCCTTGTCTACGACGGACTGGCGCCGAATGGCGCCGACGGACTGGCGCCATTCGGCTGCTGGTAAAGCGGACGCTTTACCTGCTCACCAACGCAGCGACGAACTACATCTACGGATCCGCCTCCGGTGATGCCGTTGGGATCCTGGTGGCGGCGGAGCTTAGCGACCTCTGCCGCATCGACTCCGCCTTCGAGCTTCTGACGTCCCCCGACACCGAGCTGCAGCAGATAGCCTTGGACGACGCTTATGCAATCGCCACTGCCCGCTTCGGCTGGGAGGTCACCCGCTTCGAGCTGGAGTCCTACCTCGGGGGATCGCTTGGAGGACGGTTCCGGTCCCGGCCAACCAGTGCGGTCCGTTGGACGAATGCCCGTAAGGCGTCCCGCCAGTACAACGTCGCCTGGACCCTGGATCCTGGCGGCGTTCGGCTCACCTGCGGCGACGCCACGATAACCACAGCACCGGTGCCGCGTAATGCGCACGCTACGAGAGGTGCTGGCCACCGAACGGGACCAGGCCCTGCACAACCTCCCCAACCAGGGAAAGGTGCTGGCCTGCGTGGCGGCTGATCGCGCCAGCTCCCATTTCATGCGGACGGGCGCCTTCACCTCCTTCGCGGACTGGCGATTCGTGCATAGGGCCCGCCTCAACCTCCTGCCCCTCAACGGCGCTCGCATGTGGGGCGCACCGGACAGGGACCAGCGGTGCCGCGTCTGCGGGTACCTGAGGGAGACACTGCCGCATGTGGTGTGCCACTGCATGCCTCGCAGTGCGCTCTACCGGGCCCGCCACAACGCCATCGTCGACCGCGTCCGGACCGCCGCCTCCCGCGAGTTCACGGTGGCCTTCGAGAACCAGGCCGTCGGAGACACGGGCCTGCGTCCGGATCTCGTCCTGGTGCGTGGCGAAGAGGCTATCGTCATCGACGTCACGTGCCCGTTCGAGAACACGCCGGACGCCTTTGAGAACGCCCGTAACGCCAAGCTGGCTCACTACGAGCCGGTGGCGGCGTTTCTCCGGCGCCGGTATCAACGGGTCACCGTCCACGCCGTCATCGTGGGTGCCCTCGGCGCATGGGACTCGGCGAACGATCGCGTACTACGTCGCATTTGTTCGCGCCCCTACTTGCGCCTGTTCAAGAAGCTTTGTGTGAGTGAGGTGATCGCTGCATCTCGCAAGATCTACCAAGAACACTTGCGTGAAAGCCATTACTGCCTCGCGTCCGCATGTGACTGTGCATGCAAAGCTAATATGGGTGTGCGTGTTTGCCCCTAAGCAATTCTTGTCTTGCCACGCGATGTCTTCATTGTTACGCGACGTGCAGCCTTTTCGCCCGCGTTGTGCCATGTCAACGTCGTAAGCCTCGTCGCGAGAACTCTTTGGCGCAAGTCATGTCTGAAAGTCGGACTCATTCACATATGGCCCCATGAAACATGAATAAAAATGTATCTGTTCTTATCAGCTTAATATCTGATACGGATCCTATTTGGATCCAAGATATTAAACTTATTTTTGCAATGCGGCGGAGTGCTTGAAGCTTGCTTCACCTCCGCCACGGGTTGGCCCGGTATTGCACTACCTCCGGGATCGGCCCACTCACCCCTGCGGGGGTGAGTTCGACAATAAATTCAATGATAGAAAGAGTGTTCGAATTTACCAATGATATCGGGGTAAACGGCGTGGGTGCGGCGAGTGTCCGAGACGGTGGCGTCACGCCGCCCCGGCTGACGCGGTATTCGCGTGCAGGGAGTGCGCTAGCTGTGTTTACACTTACGATTGCTCTGGGAAAATAAATGTTTCTGTGGAAATTTCATAATTGGAGGCCCCCCCCCTTTTTTGGTTATGTTCACACGTACATACTCAAGTTTTTATTTTTTTAAACATCCCTACTCATATTAATAAAACTATTGAGTAATTTATTATTACTGTTTCGGAGGAAAGCTAGAAGTGTGTATACGATGTGTATGTATGTGTGTAGAAGTGTGTATGTATGTGCCAAGCTAATTCCGCTTTTCCAATTCACCCGTTTCGGAACGAAAAATAAAACAGCCTCTAGAAATGGTTGTTGGTGTTTCTGTTTACAGTTGCAGTGACAAACGAAGGCATTTTTATTTCACATCTTCACGCGACGTCTTAACCTGAAGACGCGTGCTCTCGCCGCGTCTATGCATCTACACTATTCCCCATCACAAATTAAAATCGCAAAGAACGCCACAGGACCCACCCCGCACACACCTGCTGTACGGTGGAGCGGCAAAGCCCCGATGTGCTTTTTCTATGTCCACTGACCTGGGTCCCAGCTTCTGCCAGCGGTGGCTGTAATTCGTTGCCACGCGGTCAGCTACCTCGCTGGCGCCCTCAGCCATCACCTTGATGACGATATGATGATATGTGGGGTATGACGTCCCAAAACCACCATATGATTATGAGAGACGCCGTAATGGAGGGCTCCGGAAATTTCGACCACCTGAAGTTCTTTAACGTGCACCCTAATCTGACCACAGGGAAATGCAGCCGCCGCGGCCGGGTTTCGATCCCACAACCTGCGGGTCAGCAGCCGAGTACCTTACAGCCACTAGACCACCACGACGGACATCGCCTTGTTGATCACACACTACATTTCTGAACACCATCTCATACCAGCTCATCCACCGTTGGCTCTCGTTAATTACAACAAACATCCTCGCACGCTCACCTCAATGGAATTGCCAGTTGCTGGAAGTTCCAAGAAAATTGCGCACTAGACGTACGGACGCACCACGCACGTACCTGAAGCGCCGTGGAACCCAGGACGCGTGAGATCACGCCCCGGGCGAGCTTTGCTGTGCTTTGCCTCTGTACCCACTCATCACTCCTCACAGCTTCACTAAGCCGAGTATGTAGAAGTCGAAGAAGCAGAACAACAAACCGGCCAATCCCCCACAGTGGGTGTGAGCCACAAGTGAAGGCCAACAAAAACGAGCAACACCAGCGAGCGCAGTGACGAAGCTATCGTAATGGGGCGAAATAATCCACGAATATGGCTGCACGTTGACGCACGGTCGCATTTGTGCAACCACCCGTCTCCCGAAGACCGTCTGTCGCGAGTCTTCTCGCACCTTACCCAGCGGAATTCGACGAAAAGCGCAGGCGAGTACTTCTCCACTGATTTCCGCGACCACTTGACGACCGCCTTCTTGCCGCCTCATGTCCGTCTGGCACGATCGACGGAGCGCCGCACCAGCGCCTCGTACACGCCACTATAGCACTCCTACCCCTCGGAATCAGCAAAACTTGGACAAGCGTTTTCGACCACGACAGGCAGAGCCTGCCGGCCCGTTGAACGCTTGAACGACATCGCAGCGGCATGTCGCACACTCACGTTCCGTCACCCTCTGCCACATGACCCTTCATTCACCGGCTTCACAACGCACGCGGTAGACGTTTCGCACGCATTCCCGGGTCTGCCTTTCACGGCAGGACCTTCGTCGACCTCGGTGCGGTGTTCCGCCACGTCGGAACTTGCAAGGCATACGTTGAGCGCGCTGAAGCAGCCAAAGGCAACACCTTTTTGCCGATGATTGTGGGCGTCGTTGCAGAGGCGTTGCTTGGGCAGCCAGCGTAGAAGCCATGTTGGATGGGTGACGTAGTCACATTTTGCACAGTCATTTTTTTTCTTTTTTCCTTCCAGGCTTTGGTGCTCGAGTTGGACATGTACACTATGCATCAGTTTTTAAAACAAGTGCTGTAGCATCCCTCGCGACATGCCTGATAATGTTCGCCGGCAAGCATTTGGTGTGACGTCATGGTTACATTCGAGAGTACGCATGCAAGCAAGCACGCGTGGCTTTGACCTCTGGGAAAAAGAAGGTTTCAGTTTTAACATGTTTGTAAGCGAAACAAGAAACTTCAAGCGGACTAGGGATAAAAGCAATGCCGTGAAGCCAGCGCCGCCGCTGTCGGTGCACAATGCTGGTTGTGCATGGGTGGACGTCGGAATTGCTTTGCTACTGTTTGCCTGGCTTTTGGCCAGAACTAAGTACGAGGTGTGAAAGAATGGATTTTAATTACGTGCTAATGAATTGCATCGCTTCTCGGCCTTTTGGCTAGTCCAATTGTCGAGTTAGCTGCTTCTTCGCGCGAGTCGCAGGTCGGACCTGGGGTCACGTCAAGCCGACGTCGACCCCCGGGTCTCGCTGCAAAGGAAGTCTTCCAGCCTCCCGGGAGCTGCCGTTCCAGCCTGCAGTCCCTGGCCTCCGGTCCCGGGCCCTCCTGCTCGGTGACCCCCGCCCCATGCCTGGCGACGCACGGACCCGGACCCCGCCTGCTGCCCCGGCTCCTCCCGTCCCGTCGCCTACCTCTTTGCTACCAGATCTCGGACCCAGCACCTGCTGAGCCCGTATACTAGCACGCAGCACGCCTGCGTTCCCACCAGTCACGCCCCCCCTCGTCTTCCTTGGAGGAGCGCCCCACCAGTGCCCATCATGGCAGCTCAATCGAACCTCCCGGTGAGGGAGAATTGTTTTTTCTTTAATGTGCCTGACGGCGATTTTTGTATAGATGATTTAATTGACGCTGTAGAGCGTACCGCGGGGGAGGATAGCGTGCATGTCCTCCAGCATATGGGAGGCGCGAGATTTCTTGTGTGCACGCGCACTGCGGCTCAAGCCACCAAATTAATGGTGGAAGAAGGTTTTGTTGTGCGTAACGAGAAAGTAGCAGTGGAGGCAGTGGGGCCTCCGATTACGTTTGTCAACGTGTTTCGTTACCCCGCCTACCTCCCCGAGGACCCCTTGGTTAATGCACTGGCCCAGTACGGGAAAGTGAAGAGCGTGGCTTTCGCGACGGTCGCAAACCGGCAAAACAAACTCAATGGCGTGCGTGTTGTACGCATCGAAATGGTAAAGCCAGTGCCAAACTTTGCGACCGTCGCGGGGCACCGCGTAATGTTTGAGTACAGGGGCATGCGGCGTGTTTGCGCGAGGTGTAGCGAGACGGGACACATGGCCTCTGCGTGCCAGAACCCATACTGCAAGCGCTGTGGCACCTTTGGCCACGAGACGGAGGGCTGCGAAGCCGAATGCCAGAGATGCGGCGGCCACCACGGGACCAGGGAGTGCTTCAGGAGGCGCTCATACGCGTCAGCCGCTCGGGGGCTCTCCTCGGTCTCGGACCTCGCGTCAAACACGACTCGGCCCAGTGGCCCGTCTTCCCCGCGGCCCGGAGAACTGAAGTCGCGCCTCCAAGTATTGGCACCTAAGCCTGCACTCCGTACAACTGCAAGGGAGACCCTCCCCAGCGACCAAGACACAGACACTGACCCGCCCACTGGTGATAGCAGCACGGCGACTTCATCTGCCAATGAGGGAGAGCGAACAGAAAGAACAGAAGATGTCTCCACCGCACCTTCGGGAGCAGAGCTGAGTGACTCCGCCACAGATTCGGAGGTTTCGCACCCCTCTTCCTCACCTGCCCCCCCCCCGACAGCGCGGGACCAGAGCCAACCTGCGACGCCCGAGCAGACAGAGGCGGAGCTTTCCACTGAGACAGGAGAGGTCTCCTCCTCCTCCCGTTCAACTCCCGCCAACGTGCTCGCCCCGGTAACCACCCAAGACTTGGCGGACGGAACCCAAGACCCCGCCCCGCGGAGAAGCGCCCATTGTGAGCCGGGGCTACTATTTCCTTCCTGATGAACGTGACAAGAGCTACACCAACGCACCCTCCTCCGCCCCGACAGTGCCACGCCCTGCCCGGGAGAGAGATGCGATGGCAAGCCAGCCCGTAGGCCGCGAGCAACGCGCTCGCTCACGTTCACGCAGACGGCATGGCGATGATGATAAGAAGGCCGGGCGAGAGCGAACTGCCAGCAAGGAGCAAAGGCAGCGCCGACCGGGGGCTGAGGGACGGAGCAGCGACAGTGACGCCCCGCCCCAAGCTAAAGCGAAGAAACTCGACGCAAGCAGCGGGGGTAAAGGGGCACTGCCCCCCTAAGCCGCTGCCTTCAAGTTCTGAGAACGCGCCGCGCCGCTCCACACCCTCGCCAGCCACCGCCCGCCCTCCTCGCTTTCCCTTTGCGGCGCGCCTCCCTTCCTCTCTTTGCTCTCGTGGCTAATGTTCCCCCTCTCCAGAGCAGCTGCTGGCGCTCGCCCCCTCGCCTGCTCCTTTACTGTCGAATTCGTGCCCAGCTGCGATAACCGATGCCCCCCCTCCGCATAGCCACGTGGAACGTGCGCGGCTTTCGCGATCGCGTCAAGCAGAGCATGGTGGTTTCGCAAGCAAAATCCCAGGGCATCGACCTGCTGTTCCTCCAAGAAGCGAACTTTCGGACCCCGCTTGACGTCACCCGATTCCGCCGCACCTGCCAGATGGAGGGGTTGTTTTCCCTAACGAACGCAAAGGCGTGTGGCGTAGGCGTCGTTTTCGTTTCGGGCCGTTGCCGGGAAAAGGCGCATTGCACCTTTCGGAGCTGACGGACGCATCCTCCTTCTCTGACATTTTCATCGATGGACGGAAGCTCCGCGTTGTCAACCTCTACTGCACCCGTGACGCGCAATGATACAAACCGCTTCTATCCGGGAATTGCACGAATACCTGCTCGAACCCCTTCCCCACGTAGTCCTCGGTGACTTCAACTGCGTCATCGACACTACGAGGGACATCAGGGGCCCGGGGCGCGGCGGTTCAGCTTACCACGCTAGGGAGCTATTAAAGATCCTCCGCCACCTCAAGCTGTCGGACGCCTGGGTTCACCTTCACGGGGACGCCTTCGTGCCGACGAGGACCTCGAGAGTCACGGGTAGCCGGCTGGACCGTATATACCTTCCCGACGCATTGCTCCCTTCGCTTGCCTCGTGCGAGGTAATTGCTTTACCGGCCAGCCTGGAGAAATTGTCGGACCACGCCCCGGTGGTTATAACAGTGAGGGCGCAGCCGGGACCTCGACGGCGGGACACCGCTTGGCGCCTCGACCCGGCGATCTTAGAAGATAACGAAAGCGTCACCAGCTTGAAGGCCCGTCTGGAGGCGTCAATCTTAGCTTCCCCCTGCGAGTCCCCGGAGGCATGGGACGACCTGAAGTCGACGTGGAGGGACCTCCTGCAGCAGGAAGGTAGCGCAAGGAAAAAACGCAACACAGCCCGCTTGAACGAAATTCTACGAAGAATGCGCATCGTTCAAAGCGCCGACGCCCTTACTGCTTGCACCCGAGACTACCTTCACTCGCTTCGGATCCAGCACGACCGAATTCTCCGAACGACCGCCCGGGAGGCCCGTACAGCACGCGCCGCCTCGGGAGACCAACCGGAGGTTGACCTGCGCGAGATTAACGGGAACGGGTCCTTGCGCATCACGGAAGCGCTCCGGCCCAACGGTACAACCACGTCAGACCCAGCTGAAGTAGAGGCCGCGTTTCTCGACCACTTCAGGCGTGCGTTCACCGAACCTGACCTGGCGGAATCGCATCGAGACCCGACCCTTGTTAGAAACCTATGCCAGAACCTGCACCGTTTGGAGGCTGACGAGTGTGTGACCCTGTGCGCCCCGGCCTCGCTCGAGGAAGTCCGCCGGGCAATCGCATCGATGCCCCCAAACGCAGCGCCGGGCGCAGACGGTCTGACAGCGGGATTCTATATGACGTTTTTTGAGGTCCTGGGCGAACCTCTTCTCAACATCGTCAACGCGGTAATTGGGAAGCGAGCGAAGCCAGCCTCCTTTGGTGTGGGGCGTATCGTCCTGATCTTGAAAGACGGCGCGCCCTCAAACGACCCGTCATCATGGCGCCCGATCACTCTGCTAAACGTGGACTACAAAATCGTGGCGTCCATCTTGAACTCAAGGCTGAAGATCTTCTTGCCGGACATGATCGCCCCGCACCAGTCCTGCGCCGTCCCAGGGCGCTCAATGTACGCCAACCTCACCCTGACGAGAGATGTATTCGAGTTCGCCTCCAACAAATGCATCGCGGGGGCCTTCCTGTCCCTCGATCAGGCGAAGGCGTTTGACAGGGTGAGACACTCGTACATGCTGGAAGTGCTACGCGAGTTTGGTCTCCCGCCGGACTTCGTCACGGTCATAGCGCAACTGTACACGGACCTGCAGTGCTGCGTAGTCGTCAACGGCACCACAACGACCCCCTTCGCATACACCAGAGGAATTAGGCAAGGGTGCCCCCTAGGCCCAACCTTATTCGTTTGCTCTATCGAGCCACTAATCACATCAGTCGCCTGTGACGGCCTCATCAAGGGCCTGCCTCTAACAGGCCAGGAAGAGCTGAAAGATCCTTGCCTTCGCAGACGACATCTCCCTGTTCCTGAGAGATACGCGCAGCCTCGCACAATTCCGCCAGGTATTTAGCGCTTACGCCGCTGCATCTGGTGCGGCGCTAAACGAAGCGAAGAGCAAGGCCTTACTCTTCGGCCCCTTTCCTCCCGAGGTCATCGCACCGATTGAGTTAGTAACGACAGTGAAGGTGCTGGGGGTCTTTTTCACCTGTGAGGGCGTGGCGGCATCCACGTGGTCGAGAGTGCTGAGCAGGGCACAGATCCTCATAGAGCGAGCCAAACTCACCGAGCTCACCTTGCGAGACAAAGCTATTGTGGCCAAGACGAGCGTTTGTGCCCTCGCCTCCCACGTTTGCCGAGTCGCCATCATGCCTTCCAGAATCGCCAGCCAGCTTAACAAGCTCATTTCGGCATTCTTGTGGGATGGCAAGCCCCCACCCGTCAGGCGTCACCTCCTGCAACTTCCAGCAAGCGATGGCGGACTCGCCCTTCCCCACGTTCAGACGACCGGCAAAATCCTCGCTCTAAAGACCGCCCGAACACTGGCGAAGGCGAGCGCTTACGCCGGCAGGAACCTGCTCCTCTATTGGGCAAGTGTGCGTAATAGCTGGCTCGATGCAGGCAGTCACCGCGGTCCGTTCGCCGAGTCGCCCTCCCCCTTTTACAGGGCGGCAGCGGCGACAATGCGTATGCTCACCCGCGAAGCCCCAGGCTGTGAGATAGACTCAGACCCGCCAGCCAGACTGATCGAGACCCTCACAGCCAACCAGCTCCACGATGAAGACAGGCGCCGCGCGAAGCGAGCGAAGCGGGAAATTGCCGCACTCGGCCGCTATGCCCCCCGTGGAGTGCAAGATTTCATTTGGAAACGGGCATGGGACGTCCTCCCCACACGGCAGAGGCTACACCGCCTCGGCATCGTCCCCGACGCCCGTTGCCCGAACTGCCAGCAACAGAGACCCTCAACCACGCTCTGTTCGACTGCGTGGCCGCGCGGCCCGTGTGGCGCATGACCGCGCGCTCTTCGGCATTCGCCCCCCTCCTTATCACAGGCGCAATAAAGGCCCCTTCGCGAAACTCGTCTTCGCCATCACCCTCTTTCGTGATCTGGCAACGGCGATCACTGGCC